CAGGACTGGCCACTCACCACACCACCAGGGCAGAGATCAAGGGAGCAGCAGAGGCTTCTAATGAGGTTGGGGTTTGAGGGAGGGGAGGGGGCGCACTGTGTGTCCAAAGATAACACGTGTGAAATATTCCCAGGGGAGGCCAGGCTCCTGGCTGGTTGTCCACTCTGATCTCAGCAGCCCCCTCGCCCCAAGCTGTATCCCGATCCTCACTGGGGCCGGACCCTGGCGTCCCTTCACTGTTCCGGCCTCACTCTGACCCGCTGTCCTCAGACTGGCTGCCTTTGTGTTTATAAACAGTTCTGTTTTGCCACTGAATCAGTCAGGCGGTCTCTGGTTTTGTCCAATCAATCAGATTTCGCAGTCAGCCCTGAAGGCTGCAAGAGGGAGATGCCTTCCACACAAGTCTGCTTTGCAAGTGGGCAGCACTGGGCGGAGCGGGCTGACTCGGAGCCCTGTGGTCCCTGTGAGCACGCGTCCCTGTCCTTCTTGGCCTCTCTCCTCCCTCTGTCCATCTGGCTGTCTGACCTGTGGCTTCAGCCATATCCGAGGTGCAGACTAGAACGCCTCCTTTGGGGTCGGAGCCCACTGCCAGCCTCACCTCCCTGCTCCTGCAGTTTCACCCTCAAACCTTCTGCCCTGATCGACTGATTAGAGTCAAGAGCCCAGAGTCAGACAGACCTGTTTCCATCCGGCTCGGCCGCTTGCTGAGGATCTTATGCAAGTCTCTTAATCGTTTGAGCCTTCATTTCCTCACTTTGCAAAACGTAGCTAATACCCACCTGGAAGGGCTATTGTGGAGAATCAATGAAGTGACACGTGAGAAAGGTGTGGCACCCAAAGCAGGGTGCATCGTGGGGGGCCCCACTCGAATCAGCAAATCTTGGAAAGGTCAGATCTGCTTTGCATGTTTCCTTTGGCTGCAAACCCGGCTTAGGCCTTTATTAAATAACCACCTAAAACCTACATGTGTCGTAATGCGGCTTCCATGGGCCGAGGGGATTGGCCTCGTTAGCAGCAATCTGAACGACGCTGAGGATGACAGTATCAATCCCTGCTGCCCCACAGCCCTTCCAGAAACGCAAAGCGCCTTGGACAAACAGCACTGATCATTCGAGATCGAGTTACGAGCTCTTTTGATTTATGACCCTCGGTTCTCAGCCTCCTGTCAGGCCAACGCACAGGCCCCGCTGTGGGGCCCGCGGGGTGGGAGGGCTGGAGGGGCTGAGCAGAGCCAGCCTGGAGTCGCAGAGCTGTGTGCAACTCACAGCACAAGAGGGAAGGAGCAGGGGCCGGGGCCGGGAGGGCACAGCCAGCAGGCGTGCATGAAATGCACAGGGATGAAGGTTCAGTGCCCAGGACAGGCCCGAAGCCCGCTCTTCTCTGGGAGACCCGGAGGCTCAACAGAAAAGAAAGCACCTGTGGGTGGGTGTTTGGCAGGATTTTTCCACAGCAAGGCTTTCCACACCCAGAGTTCAGACTTCTTAGAAAGAAGAGCACCTTCCAGAGCACCCACAAACCTGGGGGAGGTGGGGAGGAGCCCCCGCCACTTGCAGACTTTGGCTTTTCACTGGGTTTCCTTTTTGGGCTGCCTCAGTGGACAGATCACATGAATCTGGGGCCACCGAGGTCTTTCAGCTCCTTTACTTAGCTGTGTGGCCCTTCTGAGCCTCTGCCTGATGGGAGGTTTCGGTGCATTCAGCCTTAATCCCTCAGCCTGTGCCGGGCACAGGGCACGTCTGGTCTGGTAGGTGGCAGCTGTTTGTCATCTCCTTGCCAGATCCTAAATCTACGCTGAGATCTCTGCACCTCCAACCAGGAAGCAGCGTCAGATCCAGCAGGCAGCAGGAATTCTATCAGCTTCCTCCTGAACATTCCTGCCCAGAAACCGCTCCCCTCAGCACACACACCTTCATTTCCCAGCCCAGCCCACCGCATTCTGAGGCTGAGGAAGAGCACTCCCAAGCCAGCTGAGGTTACACTAAGGAGCTTCCTACTGGCTGGGGCTGAAGGAGGGTGAGAGAGAGAGCAGCTGCTGCTTCGGGAGAGAAGAGAAGGCGGATTCCAGATGTCAGCTATCAGTTTATGCTTTATTATTTTCTCTTTGTTTCTTTGTGGTGCTGTGGAAGAACTCAGGGCATGGTGGCTCACGCCTGTAATCCCTGCACTGGGGAGGCTGAGGCAAGAGGATCGCTGAAAGTTTGAGGCCAGCCTGGGCTCCATAGTGAGTTCAAGTCCAGCCTGAACTACGTAGTGAGACCCTGGCTCAAAACAGACAATAGAGGACCCAGGACCACAGGAAGCCCAGACAGGCTCTCTGACCCTCCATCACTGGGCCACTGAAGGGCGTGTCATCTACTCACGGCCCGCTGCTGTACTTTGCAGGGTGCTCTCAGCCCAGGCCAAACAGGGCTCCAGTGGCCTGTGGGGTCCACCGCCCTTGTGGTACGGTGCTGAGCAGGCCCTGGGGAGGAGAGGTCAGCAAGAGGCCACTGGACCTTTGGGTGCTGGGAGTAGGAAGAGTCAGGAGGGTGCTGCAAGCTGAAATGTCGCGATGTTTTCGTTTTCTAACACCTGTGGCTTCTTTTTGCTGTAGCCCAGGGGTTCTTGCCATGCAAGCAGTGTCCTTAGGAGCTTGTTAGAAACACAGAGTCCCAGGGCCACCCAGTTCTTCTGAATCAGAATCTGCTCTTGAAGGACCCCAGATGAGCCCTGTGCACATGAGACTTGAGGGGCACTGCCATGGCTGACTTTAGGTTTGGTTTGGTTTGCTCGTCTTGAGGCAGGGTCTCTGCACAGTCCAGACTGGCCTTGAACTTGCTAGGTAGCCCAGCCCAGCCCCAGACTCCTGAGACTCCTGCCTCAGCCTCCTAAATCCTGAGCTCACAGGCGTGCGCCACCCAAATCCTAGCTGGGAGTAGTGCTGCCCTCACGCCAGCGCCCCCAGCGAGGAGAGCCTGGTCCCGAATCCTGCTGGGGCACAGCCCTGCACACCCAGGAATCTCCCAGCCCAAGGGCAGCCTGCGTCCAACTGACAGCCTCTGTTGTTGCCTCCTGTGGTGACCTGGAAAGCAGCCTCTCAGCCTCCCCCGCATCCTCTCTTCCTCTTGCCCGTTTTACTCCTCCTTCCATGTGCATCAAGCAAGTCTAGCTCAGTGGGGCTCAGCGCCACACCCTCCCCTCCTCCCCAGGGCAGAAACCGAAAGGTTCCCGCTGCCCTGCTGTGCCCAGGGTCCAGTCACCGAACAAATACTCCCAGAGCACCTGTGGGTACAAGGCCAGGACCAGGGGGCTCCCAGGGCCAGCAGTGAGCAGGACGCAGTGTTGCAGCCCTCCTGGAGCGGACGCCAGTGACAAGTTCACTGCCGTGCACTTAATCTATCAGCAGTCACCTGTGAAGCACCTTGCTGCCACATTTTCCCCCCAAATAAGGCCAGCTCTTATTTTTAGTTTTGCTCTAAAAGATGCAATAGGCCTTATTTTCAGAGGATGTCGATTTTTTTTATGTATAAAAGTCTACATGTATTCGGAGATAGTCCTGTCATCTTCTTCTGGAGCATCATCATAACTCCACACCCCACATTCTAGCCTGAATTTCTCGACTCCACTTCCTGTGGAACCGTTGGTCCCATTCTCTCGCGTCCAGCGCTGTCGCTGTCTTTAAATGAGCACTTCCTGTCCACACAGCCTGCTCACGGTGCGGCAATGATTTCTTCCCATGAATTCTCCACCCACGTCATGCCCTCCTGTGGGCCGGACTTCACAAGGTTGCATTAAAGCGAGGGTTAACGGAAGACTGACCACACGGGAGGGGCAACAAAACTAGTGACAGCTAAGAATGACGTCCACACAAAAGCAAGCGAATGTTGCAGGCACCAAAATGCAGAAAACAGTCCTTTATGTCACACGGGCACTAAGTCCCTTACCACACATGACGTATGAATGGTGAGGAGGCCTCAGACACTGCCGTGTCTGTTCATGGTCAGGTGTGAACACTCTGTGCGCCATGTCTGCTCCGACGGCTTATTTTGGGTAAGTCTCCAGCTACTTGCACGGGCATTTATCCCTGGTCCCACAGGTCTGCTTGGTATTTACAATACTTAACTATAATGTAGACTATCATTTTAAGTATTAATGTTAATAGTATTAGTTATTGATTTTAAATTATACATTGATACCATTATCTTTTAATACATCCATCATGTGTTGCCGTGTACATACTAGGATCTCACGATGTAGCCCAGCCTGGCCTCAAACTCTCTGGGATCTTCCTGCCTCAGCCTCCCAAGTACTGAGATTACAGGTGTGTGCCACTACACTTGGCTCTGGCTGTCTTAACTCGGGCTTATTTTGGGGGTAAGGTTTATATTAAGAGCATCCTGAAAAATCATGCTAGGTCTTGTTTTCCATTTAGGTCTTATTTGGGGGGAAATATGATATGCGTCAGACACTTGGGACTTAGGGGAAAATAAAACACAAATATCCTGCTCTTCTCACATATGAAGTTGTCCTGAGGTAGCTATCAGGCAGGAGTGCTTAGATGCCACCTCCTCCCAGTCAGGATTTTTTTTTTTTTTTTTTTTTGGTGCCAGGATAGAACTCAGGTCCTTGCACCTTCAAAGTGGGCAGCGGAACCACTGAGTTAAGTCCACAGCCCACCCAGTCAGGATTTAGAAAGACCCCCATGATTAGTTGCATTTCCTTTTGCCTTTTCTCGGGGAAAATGCCAGTCCTGCTAAGCCCTAAATAAAGGTAGGACACAGGGCCCTGGTGTTCTTCTCCCCCTGTAAAGTGGCTCATCCCCAAGCTCCAGGCCTGGGTCAGCCTCAGGACCATGAGGAGTCCCCAGAGGAGGCTGAGCCCTGCCCTGGGTATGGGGAAGCTTCCTGCCTCAGCCTCCCTTTGCTCCTCTGCACCCTTTCCTTCCTGACCTTCTGTGTTCCTTCCTTCTTTCTTCCCCCTAAGAGAACTCAGCCTCAGCCCTCCCTCACCTGCGCCCGACCATGCACTGTAGCTGCTGGGCTGAGGGCATCCGGGCCTCCCCTGGCAACTGCTGGATCTCAGGTGAGCCCTGCAGCCGCCCTGGGTGGGGCCGGGAGCCCCCGGGCGGCCATCACACCCCTTCCCACCCAACCCCCAGGCTGGGCCTTCCCTGACTGGGCCTACAAAGCCGAGTCCTGCCCAGGCTCCCGGCAGATCCAGCTGTGGCACTTCATCCTGGAGCTGCTGCAGAAGGAGGAGTTCCGCCATGTCATCGCCTGGCAGCAGGGCGAGTGCGGGGAGTTTGTCATCAAGGATCCGGACGAGGTGGCCCGTCTCTGGGGCCGCAGGAAATGCAAGCCACAGATGAATTATGACAAGCTCAGCCGGGCCCTCAGGTGAGGCCAGCCGGCCAGCACAGCAGCATTCAAGGCGAGGCCTGGGCGCTGGCCCCCTGGGGGTCGGGGGAGGCAGCTCGGGTGGCCTTGCGGGTGGGCGGGGAGGGCCCCTGACGGCTCCCCTCTGCTCTAACCTCGGTTCTCTAGGTATTACTACAACAAGAGAATCCTGCACAAGACCAAAGGCAAAAGGTTCACCTACAAGTTCAACTTCAGCAAGCTCGTTGTGGTCCACTGCCCTGGGTGGGAGGTGCAGATGCCGCCCTCCTGCCTGCTGCTGGGGGCCCCTGTCCGGGGCCGGCCGGCCCTTGTGCCCATGGGTGTGCACACTGAGGTAGGCACGGGGTGGCCCTGGTGACCGGGGCCCCACCAGCTCCTGCCCCTCTGCCCGGGAAGCCCCACTCCTGCTCTGCACCTTGAGGACCATCTTCCTGCAAGGGTTCCCGCACCCCAGCCCCAGCAGGGTGCTCAGCCATCGACCTGGGACGCTTCCCTCAGCATGGAGCCAGGGGGGCGGGCTTGTTTAACTGGGACCTGGGACGTGTGCAGCAGGACAGACGCCAGGGAGGGGCCCCCCGCACCCTCCCGCTCCTCAGCTCCTGCCCAGCATGCTGCTCACCCACCAGGCTATGGCACCGCAGCTGGCCAGGCGGCAGAGCCCCCGCGAGCCCCCAGAGATCTCTGGGGAGAAGGGAAGCGGTGGCGGAGGCAGCCACCACGGCGGTGAGTGACTGGGAGGGAGAGCACACGGGTCCCCCAGCCACCCGAGCAGCACTGATGCTGCCCACAGGTGCGGGGCGCAGAGACGAAAGGGCCCTCCAGAAGCTCAGAGCCCGGGGGAGCAGAGAGGGGGGACAGCCAGTGACCCAGACCGAGACCCAAGGAAGCGCAGGGGCTGCGAGCCAAGAAGTCAGGGCTTCCTGGACGAGGCCACACC